TCATCAGACAAAACAATTTTAAATCACTTCATAATGTACCTGTAGACACATCTGCAGATTCATAAAATCAGCAGATCTGTTTAATAAAAATTGTATAAACATGATTTAGTTTACAAAATTTAGGCGTAATTACAGCTTTACTCACCAGCAGACTTTCCAAGAAAAATGGAGTATCTATTTTTCCTGTTCAGGAAATAACTGGTGTTTGGCCAACTGGCTTGGAGACGCCTATGTGGGTGCAATCAATAGCACCGACCATATTAACGCCAGGGAAATGGCAGTAATTATAAAATTCATGTTGGGTCTGCACTCTGCAGGACTGCCTCTCTTGTTGAAGGAATTGAGATGTATTGCTCCCATCTCCTGGCAATGGCTATTGAGATGGACTTCACAAGGCGGGACACCGTAGCTTGGGAGAGGCCTTCTTTTTTCATCCCCATGCATCGATTGAAAAGAACCTGAAATAGCAGAAAATCAAGATGAAAAATATGTTGATATTTGATAAGATATTATAATTTCTCTTTCTCTGTAGTTTACTAACTAATAGTATTATTAGACTAAACTACTGTAACATTATCAACAAATGTATGTCAAAAAAGGAAGCTTCTGTCCATTTCCTTTCAATTTCTATTAGACCTGTCTAGACTATACTCTTATTGATGAAATTTAAATCTAGGTCTAGTAATATTGTTTAAAAAAAATGTTTTTCTTGGGGGGGGGGGGGGGGGTGGTTCTGAAAATCATCATCGTCCTGTAGAAAATTATTGCACCAACAGCCACAACTACTAGCACTGCAGCTCAGGCAGAGGTGATACCAGACCGAAATTTCTGTCTCTTCGTTCGTTAGCCTCTGATTTGGGTAGGGTCGGCTCCTGAACGAGAGGAGCCGATGTTATGTTTAAAAACAGGTTCATTGAAACTAACATGCAATTGAAATTAACATGCCACTTAGAAATGCACTGCAGCTGTTAAGGCACAGTTCATTGTTATTCATATTATTATTAGATGCATACACACAATGAATGTATGCAAGGTCCTCTGTTCACTACATTATACATGTAAAAGCACATGGATTTTGAGTCTGGATTAAACTACCAAAGCAACCACACGTGTTTCTGAAGGCTCCATTTTGTTTGTCTCTATACTTGCATTTATTTAGCTTAAATAGTTATTACTTTCCAACCCACAACACAACAGCCGACACTACCCAAATCAGAGGCTAACGAACGAAAGAGACTGCATGCTAGTCCACTTTTAGGCAACAGCGTCTCAAAAATCCACTATAAAAGTAGTTTCTACGTCTAGCAATGATAGTTTTAAGGTGGTGTTAAGATGGTATATGCGTACGAAAGTACAATAGTGCCAAGAAAAAAAATTACCCGGTAAGAAATTGCTCAATCTCTGGAAACGAAAATGTTAACCGACAATTATTTGCACGTATGGGACTGGTCTGCGAACACCATGAAACTTTACCAAGTTTCCCCAAAATGTATTCAGTTAAAAGCATTTTAGATTATCACCAGTACAGCAACATGAAAGTAACACAAATACTTTATTAGCTGGTGTAACTTTCATGAGCGCTTATCCATACAAAAGAGTGTAAATTGTTATCAAATATAGAAATTCAAATGCAAAACTTACCGTTCACTCTCCGCGGACAGTCGATTTAACTAAAAAGTGACGTCACGCGAAGTTAGGCCGAACTATGACGTATTTAAACCTGCCCTCTGAGCGGCCTAAAGTTAGGCCGAACTATGACGTATTTAAGCCTGGCTTATCTTTAGGCCACCTTCGAGAATAGCAAAAAAGATAGTCCATGGTTTAAACCAGGTTTAGGCCACTGATTTAACTTAGGCCGCTTTCGAGAATACCACCCAAAGACTTTAAACAGGAACATTCCAGCAGACCAACGGTCCAACATATTCACGATGTTCGTTTAGTGAAAAATCCTATAGGAAAACTGAGATCAACTCTTGGGCCACATTTCCATGTACTTTCAATCGCTAGAACCCTCAGATAAATTTTCAGAATGCCTAAGCGGAGAGAGGCTGGGTGGAGACAGAGTTTACTCCACTGCTATTTTAGTAAGCAACAGTACGATCATGCAAAATTCTTTACTCTTAATTTTCCAGGATGCAGACTGTGAGGGGTGACATGCTTTCGAGTAATAGCAATTTAAATTGCTTTTGTCACCCCTGACCAGCAGATTGTATCCTTCTCTCTATCTCCTCTCCATTTTCATAAAGCTGTTTGAATGTATTATGAAATGTCTATGTATTATCTGATTGTTATACTCATTGTATGTTTTCCGATTGGTCAAATAAATAATAATAATAATAATAATAAAATAAATGCAAAACCAAGTAATTCGGCAAACAAATAATAACACACACACACACACACACACACATACACAAAAGGGCAATTTAAAACGCGTTTAAAAACACAAGTGTTCTGAACGTTCCAATCCTGTGGAATAGCTCCCTGATTTTCTTAAATAGTAAGTCCACTCTGTTAATAACGAAAGCAGTAAAAATCTGTGAAAGTATTATGAGGAAAAGTCATGAAAATAACGAAAAGTTATTACATTTGAGAGTTGTAATCGATCAATCGCAAATTGACATCTCACTGGTGCACCCTTTAAGCTTCTCTCCCAGGTTCACTTTAATGGTCGTTGATGAAGGAATAGATCTATTTTGTAACGGAGTTGTGTAAAAAAAAAAAAAAAATGAAATGACTGTGCAAAGGATGCATTTAAAAATAATGTCCCATTTTTATAATATTCTTTCAAAAAATTGTAATCAACAACAACAACATGATTATGATGGTAGACTTCCCCCTTTAAAGGGATAGTAGGCCGAGGGCACTGTTGTCTCATGCACGCTATTAAAGCCCCATGCACTTTCCTACCTGTAGCTACTTGCTCCCTCTATATAGAAAACTTCCTCTATCAGTGCCTGTTGGTCCCCCATGATCCTCTTTTTCTTATGTTAATTGAGAGCCGAGTTGATGAGATAGCCACCTGTCAGTGACCTCGCTGGGTGGTATAATCCCTTCTGGCCCAGTAGTATTGACGGTCTTTAAAACTTATAGCGTATTGAGAGAGATAGGCGCGTGTCACAAATATCTCTCTCAGTACGTTATGGGTATAGTAAAAGAGCCCCCTCCCCGGTCAGTGATAAGTAGATTTCATTAGACTCAATGATGTTATAGGGGAAGTCTAATTATTATCTGGTATTAGTAAGAGCAGAAAAAGAGAAGAAAAACAATCGTGAAATTTTGAGCAAAATCCGATTTAAAAAAAAGCAAAGTTATTACATTTTGAAGTTGTCATTAGGGAAACACAAATTGGCAACATTTACCTATCTTTACTCCGAAGATCAAGATTACATTAATCTTGATCTAAGGAGACACGAACGAACGAACCTATCTTGCGAGGTCCTCTGCAATTTGTACAGAAAATTTCATAAGTTTTCATGTAATGGCACAGTCACACGGCCACTTACGGTAGCTGCGGATGCTTACGGATAAAAGTCCGTAAGCATCCGCAAGGATCCGTATCATCCGTAAGCATCCGTATCCATCCGTAATTCAATCCGCAGGATCCGCAGACATACCCAGATCCGCAGCGGAATTTTGAAAATCTCAAAATTTTGCTGCGGATGAAATATACGTAAGCATCCGCAGGTCCGTAACATGGCCGTGTGACTGTAGCATAACTGATCGCAGATAAGTTTTTTTTAATTTTTGTTTATACAAGGGCTGTATAGAAACATATTTGTAGTCATTATATTTAGGTTGAATGTATAATTAAAAATTTTCTTAGGGGGAAATATATCCCTAGTTATTTTTAGATTTGTTAATAGTTGTTTTGTTTTATTTTTAATTACTACAGAGCAAATTGGAGGGGACCTTGCATGAATTTGTGTTAGATTTATCACAAATAACTACTGTCTTATTTCTGATCAGATTTTCCTAAAACTTTCAGTGACCTACTCCTCATTTGTTGTTCTTATTACAACCAACTTAATATCAGGGTGGACTTGCCCTTTAAATTGCCCGTCATCGATGGGCTTTTTCTGTTCTATTTTTACGAATGAAATAGGAAATATGGTTATTGCCGACGGGGGATCTTAATATTATCAAGTGTACTAGCGATTTCATCCCTTTTAACATTCATAACTACTTTTCATTTCTTCGATTTTTCGCAGACATCGTATTTATTGCTCTGATAATATTGTTTCTACCCAGACCAACTTTCTGCAAGGAGCTATTTCACCTTTTTAAGTACAAAAAGAACCCCAAAAAGCTCTCTATAAAGGGATGTGTGTTCTACTATTTCATTCCATGACGTGCTTGAAGTCGCTCAACGTGATGTCATTTGACATGACGTCACCCATGCCTTGCAATATGAACCCGATCCGGTCACAATAGATTTAAAACCACATACACGTTTTGAATACAAGAACGATCTGACATGAAATGATCTGACGTGATTTTATAATCGAGATTAATTGATGTTGTTCTTTAATTATCCGATTCTTTCACATTTTGAATTCTTTTGACAATCTTATCAATGGAGAGTAATTATTGATTCAGCCTAAAATCAAATAGATGCACCGCAAACAATATCATTTTTCCATTTAGATTGAACATGATAAATAAAGTACCAGAGTATAACTTTTTCTAAGAAAGAGCGAAAACTACCGAGACAAATGCAATATATTGAAGGGTCAAACCCATACATGTACTTGGAATTGCGTCAAATTATACAGTTCGTTATTTTGCGTTGCGAATTACTGATGGTTTGCTCCCACTGCTCTCTCTCTCCCTCCCCCCTCTCTCTCTCTCTCTCTCTCCGTCCGTCCCTCCTTCTCTCCTTCTCTCTCTCTTTCACTCTTCTCCTCTTCCCCTCTACCTCTCTGCTTTAAAAAAAAAATTCTTTAATGTTTGCTTTCAATTTCTAATTTTTCCATCTGCGGACTAATTGTTTTCCTCAGGGGGCACAGAACCTTCAGAGTGAGTCCATCCTGTGTAAGGTCCACTGCAGTGGCGGAAAATCTTACACCATTTACTCCTGCATCAAAGGCAAGCTGGTGGAAGTGAATGAAATTTTATTTTCGCATCCACAATTACTCGTAGAAAAGGTACGTAATCACCAAATTGCATATGTTTTGCTTTATCTTATATTTAAACAGGGCTGCGTAAATATGTTCCTGTTCTTTTCTTTGTTTTGTTTTTATCACTCTTTTGTGGTCCATAATTAAGTCCATTCAAATTTCCTTCAAAGTTGTTATTTTTTCGCCGTGGAAAAAAAAGGCCCTGAATTTCGCTTCCGTTCAAATGTTGTTATGAGCCTATGCACAACCTGAAAACATGCATGTAATCTTTGAATATTTATTGTATGATCCTAATTAAGCAATTGTTTCAATGTTTTTGACAAATTTTACCCCTTCCCCAATCAATATTAATACTGATATTTCTAGATATCGTTAATTAATATTTTTTTTAAATCATTTTAATTAAACAAATTTGAGTCGTATGCATCCTAGCAGGTTGACAAAAAGTGAAGAAGAAAAAAACCCATCACTTTTGCACGTCAATTTAAATGAGAAAAATTGCATAGTTCAGGCCGTATAGACAACCAATCCAAAGGTGACATTACAATTTAGTTATTTATTATTATTTTGTCATAGCGGTCTAACTGAGCATTTGATCGTGCGAAGATCCGATTTATTTCACGATATATCAGATATATATATATATATATATATATATATATGCAAGCTGTTTTCAAATCTCGAAAACAAGTACACATGCATTTATCTTATGGCTTTTGTGAATAATGTCCTTTTGCACATTCATCACATGGGCAGAGAGCGTAAAAGTACACTGGTTTGGAATGGATGGTGTTCTATAACTTGGCGTTTCGAATGTATTAGTAGCCGTTGTGTGGGCTGTATTCATGACAGTATATGCAATAATCACAAAAGGTGATAATATAGGTTTATACTTCTATTTCGAATTATGATTTTATTGATCACCGAATATTGCTTGATCAGACATCAGAAGAGCATAATACCGACTGAAAGTAGGTCGAATTCGTTGTTTTTTCTTATTTATTTGACAGCTCCAATCGAGTGTTTGAATGTATTCACTGCGTTATTCTAGATATGAGGATTACAAGGTCCTTCATTATGTTTTATTACAATTGTCATCAGTCATATTTGGGAAATGAGTTCTTAAGTTTATCCAAACTATTAATTCGAATTTGTATCTATATTCCATATGGTGTGTAGAATCGTGGAAGTACTAATGACTAGCATCTCTGGCGAGAATACCACACATTGAGTTTCTAAACATTTGGCAACTTTCAAAGTAGTAATTTATGGCGTTTTGATTTGATTTCGACATGAGAACAACAAAACATATTGAAGAAGAGAAAAAAGAAACAAACAATACAAAGACCACGTTACTGCCATTATATGACGGTAAGAGGAACGATTGTCGGAATATCAAGTCTTATAGCTTTACATGAGTAGACGAACTGTCGCCAGAAGCGATGAAGTGATGGTTGGACAATGCTTGTAGTTTGTTAGACAGCGATCGATTAAAGTAATACAAATGTAAATGGATAATAGAGAGATATATTGATGTGATGAGTCATTTATTGGGAAGGGATGATTCCCCAATCTGCCTCTCTTTACGACAACAGCAAGCCGATACTTACATGCAGCATCTAACAGCGAGCTTTGACCTACTTCTTTGATAATTCAAATGAAAGATAAAGTTGAGTGCAATACGATCGCCTTATGAAAGAAATTGTCAAGAGGTTATAATATGCTACATTATGAATAATTGTGAATTCTTGACATTTTCATGAAAGATAAAACTGAATGCAAACCGATTGCCTGACAAAAGAAATGTCAGGAGGTTATTTGAAGGGGTGGTTATTTGGGACATGAGAAGAAGATTTCACTTTTTTGTTTTGGGACGATCAAATGGACTCAGTCTTGATAAAAGGAATGGACTCAATCTGATTAAAAACTACATACAGTTGAAGGCCTTGCACAGAGATATAAGTATTCGGGACCACATATACATGCGGTATAAATTAGCGAAGTGCTAACGTCACGTTCGCTCGTCGTCCAGGTTACAGGCCCTATAACCACAGAGGCTGCACATAAGGTGCACCGCGAAATATTTCAAGCAACGGACTTGAGCAGGGCAAATTCAGTGTTTAGGGCTGGTGTAATAACCACACCATTGTTTTGACAACTTCGCCATATCACGTCACATTTCGGTACTCTAATTTGGTCCAAATTCTATCCTATTTTAGTCAATTTTTTAAATCAGGGCTTTTTAAGAACGATCCTTACGTATGAAATTCATTCTATATTCTTTGAATTATGAATAAGAACTGTGTATCAGAACTTAACGTTTTCTTAAACGAAACAATATTCAAAACTAGTCATCAGCTTTAAGGGTATCTAATTACAATTATAGGATGGGAAATGTACTCGAAATAGGTTTCACAGACTGTCTTTGTTTTTACATGGATTTGCAGAAGAATCAAATTCGAATTAACATGTATTGAATTCAGCATAAATGGTGATCATTAATACAATTTAATTTATTATTCAATTCGGTAGCCTAACACGGAGGGCTATGTGGCCATTATCCTCGTTCGACTCTCCGACTACGATTCGCAATTCCAGCGGCTGATTTCTGAAGATGAGTATGGCGAAGTTCTTTCATCGAGGGCCAATGAGTTAGACCGCCCCGAGACGCTCACGTTAGAAGGAGGCAAACATGCGGGGAACGATCCTCCAACTTGATGCTGGCTGGCTGCCCGGATGTTACGAGGTCTTATTGGTTTCCCACGAAGTTTAAGGATTGAGACGATCATAGGCGTACTTGTACATTTTCACGAGAGGGATGACACTTTTTGCGCGAATATCAACTCTCCAGTTTCCCAATGTTGACACTCTCTTGTAGTTGAAACAGAATAAATTGAATATTCGGACACCTCGCGGCGCAAATATGAAGATGAGTTGGTTGATGCCCGAATATCGGAATTTTAAGAATGCTAAGGGGGCTGCAGCATCGTAGTTTTAAAGGTACCAACTCTGCAACATACCATATTTTATAATTTTCATCATAAATATCTATTATCATATGCCAAATATAATGCGTATTATGTAAAATTTAGACATACTGTTTAACATAAAATTGATATTACTTGTGTGCTAAAGAGCTTATAAACAGTCATTCGAGACCAAATAGTACTGTTCTTTGAAAAATTAAAACGATTCGCTTGCCTTGTAAATATTTTCCCTATTTCGTTTTCTACTCCGGAAGAAATGTCTGATTTTCTTCAGACGTGCTCTGCTGTCTGCCCTTCCACATTCCTGTATCGTGATAACACATGAACATCTGCCAAATGTTATCTCTTGATGTATTTTTGGATGACCCCTTTTTATTTAATGTGTCAAATTGTATTGTCTGTCCATTTACGGGTCCCACTTCAGCCGTTAAGGATCATTGGTATCACCATCACTATACTAAAGTGCAACGTAAGGAGAGACAACCCCGAATATGAATAACAGAGATAATTATTGTCGGGATTCAATGGCGTAGCTACGCCCCCCCCCCCAATCGAATGTCAAAAAAGGAGAGATAAGAGTGATGGGAGAGATTAAGGAAAAGGAAAAAACAATGACAAAATATACATGTAAGAAGATAGATTGCTCGAAAACGCTCTTCAAAGATTGTAGTATTATGTGAATTAGTAACGTAGAGAGAACTGTTGTAAAAGGTGCATGGAACGATTATCGAAAATTTCTTTGGGGGCGATCCTATCTGTGTCCTTGATGTAGCGTACATCAGAGAAGAAAAAGAAAATGGAGATAAGAGTAAAAGATAGAAGACATTCGGGAAAAGAGACGGAGAGAGTATGAATGTGTGTCCGTTTCACTCCCGGCCTAGACATTATGACAACTCAAATGTTGTCCTCTAGTCTAGTACAGAGTTTTCAACCGGGTGCTGCGAGAATGTTTTGAAATAACGTCAACTTCATGGATACAAAGTATCAGAAACCGCTAAGTGCCCAAATATATATCTCACTTCGGGTATTTTTATGAAGGAGTAACATTTCAGAGATAGTAAAGTGTATTATTCCTCGCTCGCTTCTCTCGCTCGCAGGATTCAGAAACAGGATAGTTCAGGCAGCGAGGTTCATGAATATCCCCATATATTACATTGTAATAAAAATATATCCGGGCAACTCGCTGCCCGAATATCGACATGATTCGGGCAGCATATGGCATTATAACCTTATTGTATTTTTGTTACCGAAATTAAATTTTATGCTACACCAAAGTGTCTTTTCCCCCCGCTCGCTTCACTTCTCGCAAAATTGATAAATTGGGATGATTTCCGGCAACGAGATGACTGATCCCACGCTACGCCCTTATTTGCTATTTATTAGTGTTATTTGACATCATTGTTGGAAGGGGTACAAGGGAGGTCTTCCAATCAGTAACATAAGCAGAGATGGATTTAATGAAATAAACTGCAGAAAAGGTTGTGTAAACACTGTTTTTTCAATTTGTCTTTTGTATCTGAACGATGAATTAAATGTGTGTGTTTCTGTGGGTGTGTGTGTGAGAGAGAGAGAGAGAGAGAGAGAGAATATATGTGTGTGTGTGTGTGTGTGTTCAATATCTCTAGTTAAAAGGGCTCCTGTGTTCATCAGTTTAGTGGGACATTCAGACAATCGAGGATTCGGCCTCTCATGAGCAGTAGAAAGCTAAGTTGAAAAGCGAAGTTGAAAGAGAGAAGACGATTGTTCTGAATATAATATCTTTATAATATGGACAAAAGTAACACTATTTCAATTAAAGCATGTAGAGAAAGTGCTGTATCGCACATATGATAAGGTGTGTGTGTGTGTGTGTGTGTGTACGAGTTCAAAATATGTTTAAAAACGCTACTCTGACGATCATGTTAATGGTGACGTTTTATAAGCAATCGAGTATTTGGCCTTTAAAAAGGCGTCATAAGCAATGTGTCGATGGCTATGAAGAATACTTTAATCTATTAATGACATTGAAATGTAAAGTGCATCATTTTAATGAGAATCTAAAATCATTTATATTTACAGAGGTCTGGTTTTTCTGTAGTAAAACCCAGACTGGTGTTTCATTGCATCGTTATTTTCCAATTCGGCAACGTGTTTTTTAAAAACTTTCCATCATACTCCCTCTAGAATGACCATTGCTAGTCAATGAATAAATTGTTTCAAGTTTTAAGAATTGTGGGCAATACCGTGGGTACTCCCTTTAAACTCGTCTCAAAGCCTTGTACGACATGACATGGGCTGACGCGTCACGTTCGTGAGGGGGTGACACCAATTTGAAATGGCACACAAATGAATTAGGTCTTTTTCGCGATCAGCTGTCGCTTTTGAGTCTGAACAATGGGTGTTTACCGCAAACCGTCAGGGGGGAAAATTCAACATACCCTGCGGCAACACTAAATCATGAAAAAGGCACCTATCAATATCTCAGCTTTTATTTTCCTTAATCTCTTTGTCATTCCACTATATTTGTTTTTCTCTCTCTTTCTTTCCCTGTAGCTCCTGACATGTCTATTTATTTCGCTTTCGAAGGATTCTTCTTTTCACGGTCCATTACATTCAATCTGAAGAAGCTCTAGAAGGCTCTTCTATTTCTTTGGTCCTAACCATGTTGGCTTTCCATCGCTGCCTTTCAGTCTCTCCCAGGGCTTCCCTGATTCTGATCAGGGGCTGTACTATAGGCACGGTCGATTACATATACTATTTGTAAATCATTATATTGCCTTGCTATCTTGTTAAAACGATTGCCTTCACAATCAATAGCCTGCTTTGTTAGGAGGGGGTTGTGTCCATTGTCTGTTGTTTGTCATGTTTGGTTGTAACAAGATCATCATTTCAAAGCTTGGCAATTAACTCCAAGGGACGATGCTATTACATTATAAGCCTCAGCGTGCCATCAATAAATAGCCAACTCTGTCGGATTGAAAACCCTTCCATACAAGTGTACTTCAATAGGATGGTCCCTCTTTTTTTTAAAACATTTTATATTTCCCAACAGAACAATCGATTAAACAATTTCACTCAAAAAGTTCGGGGTTTCGAAAACAGATCTCCTGATAAAAAGAAAAGATCAACAAGCAAGTGGAAAAGGACTGCGTTTGCTTAACACCACATAGATTATGTTAGTCGATGTGTCGTAATCATGGTACCATTCTTTCTAAATGTATTTATGAAAGCTATATTTCTTCCACACATTTAGTTGGTCTAGTGCGAAGAAAAAAAATCCTCGAGACCACATCATTCAATAGTGATGGATTTACGCTGTTTGATACCTACGACACAAACTTTCATAAACCTTTTTATGGTATCATATTTTGGTATAGCCTACGAAGCGTGATAGTTGCGAAATATCAAGATCGTAATACATTTACATTTCTCTTTTGTATTGGAATGATAGCCTTAAAAATAAATGAAATTGATAAGGATGAACGAAGACATTTTATCCGTCTTGAGAAGCGCTTGTTGCATTAGGTTTCGAGAAAAAAAGTATGAAGCCAATGTTTTACTTTAAGCTAAGAGATGTGTTTGTAAAAGCTTCACAGGAACCGATTCTTTTTTCTCGTGCGCTGTCCTATCACTCAGTCTACAGGACTTGAAAGGTAATCTTTTAAAAATATTTGCATCATTTCTTCCTAGTAGTATTAAGTATAATTTTTTTGTGCGGGGGCGTAAATCTTTGAGACATAATTTTGCGGATGGAATTTTGATTCGTTGATCAGGTTTGCATATTGACTCATCAAGTTCGTGTTGAATACATGAACATAACTGAAAACTACCTTAATAATTAAATATTGTAATATAATTTATTTTTGCAGACTTTATTAAAATCTTTTGGTGATGTAACGTTTGATAAATATCAGTCAGTTGCAGTGTTTGAGTATATGAAGAAAAAAAAAGATACCCAAAAGGGGGAATGCATATTCACGTTTAAAACTGCCCCAAGCTAACCGTTTCTTGTAACAAAAGACAGGGAGCTACGATTTCGTAAACAAGTCCTTTATTTTGCCTAGTGCACTAAGTATTTGTCCTTCCGTATAAGCTACAGAAAATAACAGGGATTCAATCTCATCCTGCCCATTTACTTTTTCATTAGGACTTTTTGTATCTGTCGAAGCTCTATACGTGAATTGTTTTGGCAGGTAAAAGTTCAGTAATTGATTGATGTGTTTTTGAAAACTTATCGTATGCCTTGTTTTTAGGTTCTACAAATCCTCTTCTGTTCAGGTATCACGAAGATGGATATATTGTCGATTGTAATCAGTTCTGAAAACACTTGGGCAAACAATATTGTTGCTTGTATCGATGTATTTTCACACACTAATCCCACGCATAATGGCATTTTCATGGATTCCGTATTGCTATGTCTAGAGGGCCTTTCTTTTCTTTTCTTTTCTTTTCTTTTCCTTTCTTTTCTTTTCTTTTCTTTTCTTTTCTTTTCTTTTCTTTTCTTTTCTTTTCCTTTCTTTTCTTTTCTTTTCTTTTCTTCTCTATTCTTTTCTTCTCTTCTCTTCTCTTCTCTTCTCTTCTCTTTTCTTCTCTTTTCTCTTTTTCTCTTCTCTTTTCCTTTTCTCCTCTTCCCCTTTACTTTCTTTTTCTTTGTTTCTTTCTCTTGTATCCAAGTGAATGAATCAAACAGATTCCTTGAAAATATTCTGTATTCTAAAACACTTAAAAAAAAAAACACCCAACAAAGATACAGCTTGGGAAAAGAATATGATGTTTTAGGGCGTATTCTCTTGTTCAGGTACAGGTTTAAACGTTATTACTATCAAAAGAATATACTTATTATTGGTGTCGCAACTTAAGGTTATATTTTTAAGAAATTGTAATTTAAAATAGGTGTGTGGTTTAACTGTTTGGAATATACATTTATATGATATATCGATTAATATTTTCAGTTCGATTTTATTTCCTATTACATGTTTTTAAGTATTAAAAATTGAATACAAAATACATATAAAAAGCAATGGATATAATAAAATGAAAGTACAAAAAGATAAAATCTTTGGAAAATGGCAGGCATTTAACAGAAAAGGTCTAGACTGTAAGTACGCATGCCGTGTAGCAACATATCTCCGGTACACATAGTATATATCCTACTTATGATAACGAAAAGAAAAATGAGGGAAATGTTGGGAAAACATAAATCAAAGGGAACTTATACATAAGAAAGATAGATTGAGATTGTGATGGAAATATTGTATTTATTACTTGTGTTGTGTTGATGATTTTCCATGTTTTGGGGCAAATATAAACGGTTCCTATGAGATGTTTGCAATCGTTCTGTATTTTGAGATATTACAAACCCGATGTCAAGAAAAGTAATAGAAATCATGAATGTTTTGCACCCGTGAATTGCAAGCTATGTCCATAAACAGATCACATATAATATAATAACAAACATAAAACATCTAGATGCATATTATTTCTTTGGATTTATTAAGCAATTGCATTTGCATTTTCGTAAATATATTTTTTGTACTGTGTTTACAGAGTCACATGACTGAATAACATTGAAATATACCATCAAATAATTTGATTCATAAACATACAATCGTCAAAGTTCGTTGGAAGAAGCGTTGTATAACTGGCAGATAACAAGCACAATGCCGTATGAATTAAGTCCGCCGCACGATGTGCGATTCCACTGCGATCCGACTGCGTTTCGATTTGGGGAGATTTCACAGTTACATTAGATATTACATTTTAAAGAAATGTAATTTTCCTGATTGAGGTTCTGAATAATGATATGAAATTCTGAAATCAAATTTTGTGTACACTGTTAACTTTCTATTCGTAGTTGAGACCAAATTGGCTACACGTCGTAAACAATCGCACGACTTGTCTGACGTCTCTACGATCCTGAGCCGATTTACCGTTTCCAATCACAAGACTTGCAAAACCAGAAATTTTAATTTATTTCATATGACTACTCAGAATCTCGTTCATTATGATTTTAGATAATTTATTTGGGTTTACATATAGAATGCTAATGCAAATTCTTCACAAATCATTTATATTCAGATCAAATCGTTTCGTTTGCGATGGGCTTAAAACGCATTGTTCTCCAACACAATTCTTATAGACAAATTACACATTTTTAATTTATAAACATTCAAATAAATCCTTCAAAAGGACGGTCTCTAATGCACAAATGACTAGAATACATACTTTTCGAATGGCATTTCACAAAAATACATAAGGCAGGGAATGCTATGTTCACACACACACATTGAATCAGCATGATATGAAAAACAGTTTCATGTTTTCTTAAAAAGGCATGTAGAAGAAATAAAATTTGTTCAAAACAAAAAATACACATGTACATCATTTATTTTTCGTTTGATAATATGAATCACCAAAACAATATCCAAACATGTATTGTTATATTAGAAGTGATATAACATGAAAATTATGTTTGAGTACACTTTTTCTGTATCTTACAGAATATGTATGATTGTATTACCTTTTCTTAAAACTATCGTCTCACTAGTTATAGGTCTCATTTCAGTATACATTTTTTTTTATCTATTTGAATCTTAGATACTAGTGAAATATAAGAAGATAAATAAAGGACATAAATAAAGGCCTTTTGTTCTTAAAAAACATTACATTGAGCGTCTTACATAAGTAAAGGCCTTTTGTTCTTAAAATACATTACATTGAGCGTCTTACATTTGAATTGAGGTTGTTGATTTTCTCCGTAGATTTTGTATTTTATATTTAATACAATGTAGTATTAATTTTCTTTATGCTGAATGTATACATTATTATGTATAGCATTCTAAAACAAATGAATTTCGAAGTACGAAACATGGACATCCATCTTTATAACTGAAATTAATATGCTAAAATATGGCTATATACTCGGGTGAAAATCTCTCAATTACTGATTATGGTAAATGAATTTCAAGGCTGATACAAAAACTTATTTCTAAACGTAGAATACAGAAAACAGATGTCCAAATAAGTACAGTCGTCGACATGTTAAAAATCATGATCACTGGATTGGCAAACGAAGGTGGCATATTTTATTTACATAAGTTTAAATCCTTCGTTACAAAAAGATAAAGAACATTGCACATTTACTATGCCTTCTCTTTCCCAGACACCTTGAGTCCTTAGCGTAATTTTTATAGAGAAATACAGAACAAAAATGAATCGAAATAGATTGACATGGGCTTTTAAAACCATGTTGTCGAAGGGTAAAACCCCGTTTACACACACGAAAATACCGCTGACACGTACACACATGCACAAACACGCACTCTCAGGCGCCCACATAGAAAAACATGTGATATCACTTATTAACACAATAATATTAGCCCGGCTTTAATGCAACACTTTGAATTGTTTAAACAATTCTTAAGAACCATGGGGGACCAAGATTTTGGTGAATCGAAATCACAATCAAAGATCAGTTAAGATCAGGTTGAAACTATATTAATTATGACCCTCACAGAAATCATTTAATATTAGTTCTAAATCAAAGTTTCAAATTATTTTGCGTAACAGCTTGAGTTGGTGCTATATAGTAGCAAACTATTTCCATGAGTCATATAATTAGTAACGCTACATCTATTATTTCTCACCATCCAAATATCGTTACCACCCATCAATTTCCCACCGTAATCCAGTGATAAATTTCTTTTTCTTAGGTGGTGAAGTAAGTGGATTTGTATTTAACATGATTATTCAGAAGAAAATTAATTTTGCTCCGTTCATTTTATTTTTGGTTCTCATTTTGTTGTCAAGTTTCTTCAAGCCGCACAGTAGTCAATGTCCATGCGTATTGCATCATTATTCGCAGACTCAAGAGTTGTTTGAGTTACGAATTAATGTGTACACATGTCTCTAAGGCAGGGAACCCATGGCCCCTCCTGAAAATACTCCAGCTTGCCTTCATATCTCGAGGGTGAAGGAATCGTTATTATAGTGAGAATGTATTATTGCAGGAAGTTCAGGGCACAGTGCATTACACAAGACCGGTCGGTCGTAGAAGTACACTCTTGATTATTGACAACACATGTTATTGGGAAAACACCAGAATGGCTTCAAATTCCCCATGAAAACGCACTTATTATGATCCTAAATCGTTTATAATGAATGGACTTTTCATCATGTTCAATCTGAAATCTATATAATGGGTGATTCACTTTATGCTTTGACTGCAATCTTGTTTGCAATAACGTACGCAATTACGAAACATTACAATGGGTTATGTCAATATTGATATCACATGTTTGTTTCATCAGTGTCTCACTCAGAAAAGTAAATATGAAATAGTTTCACCTCGCCCTGTTCAGAACGAGAACTACAATTTTAAAGTTTATCTTTCTGCAAATATGTATATATTAATATATTGTCTTTTCTTGCAGAAATCCTGGAAAGTTAGACATCATTGACCATAAAACACACATCGATAAACAAGTCTCTTTCACACAGCATTGTTTTGAAAGCATTATGATTCAAGTATATTCTTCAAGAATACATGCATGTTTGTAGCCTCGCTCTTTCTGCATTTTGTCATGACTTTCCGTACTGGATGTAACATATGGCGTAGTGAGTGGTATATAGTTTTATCTTTCTTTCTTTATACCAGCCCATACTTTGTCAAAAGTAGCCATTTAATACCATCAGTGCATGGGTACGTAAAGCAATTGCAAAGTTGATGTGCACCAAAACTAGAGTATTATAGATAACGATTGCATTATTTCACACAGTCCATTATGCGATGGAAGGAAGATCTAAAGGTGAGGTTTTTTTAAAATAGATTCCATTAAAGGTTATAATATGTCCCATTTGCATGCTGACAAAATGAAAAGGCTAAATTCCAACGGCACTTAAAAGATAATACTAATTTAGAACTTCACTCAAAACGAAAGGGCTTGAAAATTCTTTTAGTTGGAAAATAACCAATAGTTGTCGAATCGAGTTAAGTGATTGCAATCCTGTTATTAATAGTCTGATTTTCAGACCCTTGTACAGAATGGTCGTACGTTTTGTGCTGCGCAAAGATTCAATCAGTTTAATTTTGGCCATTACAAGAAGTGGGTTATTGATCTACATCAATAATGCTCATTTTATGTATGTTATTACCAAAGAAGAAAAAAAAAGTCAGTCAGTCACTCAATAGTGTCTGACAGTGAAGTCTAGAAAGTAAACGGGTTTCCTTGCATAATTTGAATATCAGGACACTGCTAACTTTTAAATTTCACTGATAGGACATATGTGACATATTCATAATTCCTGCAAAATTTTACTAATTTTGATGTTGGCTGCAAATGGGACATAGTACCTTCAAGTGACCGGTTAATACACCAAGACATATCGTCATTTGCTTACTAAATATATTTTCCATAAATCACCGCTTAATACCTCATTCTCATTTTCTCAGTTGATTATCGTCCATAGCTTGGAAACCCCCGACGTTTGGTAACAAGTCTTTTAGACGAAAGTAAACATCTTTAATTGGTCTGGACTCGGGACGATGGCTTTGGGCATGATGAGTAGGTTTTACTGGTTCGAGGCGATTTCCCCTCTAGGCGCAGTCGCATTTTTCAACAGCCATGTCCTGGAGTTCTGCATTTCTGATGTCACCATCTTCGTCGAAAATGAGAAGACTTACCGAGGTCATTTTGCTTGGTGAGCAACACGGTCCTGCCACCGCTAAGCGATCCATCTGACTTATTAGCTGGGTGTGAGGGTAGCGGTAAAAATAGTGGTCAGGGCAACTTCCTGAGCAGTAGTTGGCATCGTACGTCCTGGGAGCGATGATCCAGTCCCACCCAAATTGTTGAAAGTCCACAACGAGGGGGTACTTACAACACTCGCGTTCCAGCCGATCCTCAGCACACATCTGTTCACTCTGACGTTTCATCCGTACTCTTCTGGTATCGTCTAGCCGCAGTTGCAGAAAGGGCCTCTGATATAACGAGAGAATGATATAGACGATAGTAAGAGTAAAATGCTAAAGTTGTAACTGCAGCTGCAAATTTTCAGAACATATGTGGAAATGAGACCGCTCAGATTGTGATATTTAATATTGCTTAAAGGGAGAGTCCACCCCCAAATAAGTTTGTTTCGATAGAGGCAGAATAATAAGAAAATCAGGTCAGTGAAAGTTTGTGCAAATTCTGAATGAAAATAAGAAAGTTATGAATTATTGAAGTTGTGATCAATCAAATACAAATTGGCAACTCTGTGACTTATTATACGAGCTCTCCTTCATTTGCTTTGTGCATAATATTCCATAAAATCATGTTTTCTTCGTTATTGATGACGGAATATATATTTGTTCCTTGCAGGGGGAGTATAGAAACATATTTGCAATTATTATATTTAGGGTGCATGTATGGTTGAAATTTTTCTTGAGGGAAAATGAAAATTTTAGATTTTTTTAGTACTGAGCAAATGGAAGTTGAGCTCGCATGATACGTCATAGAGTTGCCAATTTGTGTTTGATTGATCACACATATGGAAACGTTGTATCATCCGCTCAATCTGACTTGCGTGCATAGAACAAATAAGCATTTTTCCATGAAAAAGTGAAGTTTTCTAAAATGTGCGTTTCTTTCCAGCATTGGGGCGCCCGGAAGTCACTCGGGTAACATCTCATAAAGTATAATATAAAAAGACCATATGCAAATTTTCTGTACTTTCGTCGGAAAAAATACATTTACCCGGCACAATGTCGTGTCTTTTTGCGTTGGAGAAGAGCAAATAACGAGTTTCAATCGCACTTTGGCCGCTCTCGCAAGCTCTCACTCGTTTCACTGTGGTCAAGCGACTTTGGGGCAGGCGGTTAATGAAAATACTAATCGTTAGCTTTCTTTTGGTATTAAACTTGTTTTGATTGATTGTATAATTTTGTCGGAATAAAGGAAACAAAAAGGCTCGACCAATAACTTATCAGTGTCTGAATTGACCTTTTGACCTTGAATTCCCTGATGCAAGCGCACTAATGACGTCATCTTCGCTAAATCGGCGTCTTATATTGTAAAATGCGACACCTTCACAATGTTAATACATCTTTTGTTAACTATTAGTAAGATTTAACATATTTTTTCTGATATCACTGAAGTTTTGGATTGTATTTAATAATTAATTTTAAAATAGAGCCATTTTACTGTTTAAATTACTGGATCGTACCATTAAAGTCGCAGGGTAGAAAGATGCATTTTCCAACCGCGCCAAATTTAATTTACGTTTCGAAATTCTGTTGAATGGGTTCGTGTTGTTAAGAATCCACTGCTTTCTGCTCCAACGAACGTCCACATGCGGAGTCTTTTATCAACTAAAGTATTCAAATTTATGGATGCTTCCTAGCTTCCCAGGTGTTTGTGTTGCTGTTGGAGCATGTTATTCACCTGCTATCATTTTTTGGACTCCAATTGCCAGAACGCAAATTTCATTTTGGTTGCATAGTTTCATCGGAGTCGTTTATCAACTATATGTATTAAAATTTATGAATGCTTCCTCCCCAGGTGTTTGTGGTGTATATGCATTTCATTCACCTGTTATTATTCTTTGTACTCCGATTGTTAGAATACAAAATGCATGTTGGTTTAACAGTTTCATGCAATAAGTAAGTTAATAAAAGAGTATGTTCTGCACAATAAAAACAATGTGTGTCCCTATTGTACAATGTAATGTGTCCCCTCATTTTGTAGTAGCTAATTTACCCATTCGCATAATGGAACTACCTGCCCGGTGAAGCCAGGGGCCCGTGACCCCTGAGCACTCAACACCATGTGATCAACTTCTTTTATGAGACAAAATACAAGCAAACGTTTCCATATGCTTCAAAAATCCTAACTTCCTTATTTTTAATCGGAATTTGCTCAAACTTTCACTGACTTGTTTCTCTCATTTTTCTACTCCTATTAAAACTAACTTAATTTCAGGGTGGACTTTCCCTTTAAGAAAATGTACGAGAGAATGAAGAGATATACAAAATAAAGATATTGTTAGCATGATGTGATGCCTTTTAGCATGACATGGGCGCAGCCATTTTCTTGAAAATGTGACTAACCAGGCGCACTTGTACAAGTTTCATGCACCAAGCTTTAGTTGGAAAGATTTTTTTAATTCAATAACAAAACCTTTCTTTAAATTTCAATTGGGGAAATTCATAGCTGAGAAGGTAGAAATTATATTGGTGAAACATATATAACAGGGGAACAATTGTAACTAAAACATTTAAGTATACTGAAATATAGCAGTTGACAAATCAATTTTATATATGAGAAACCTTCATCCCATTTATGCAATTTGCGTTCTGGTAACTGTAGTACACCGAATAATAGCAGGTGAATAAAAGGCTTCATCACCACACACGTCTGGGAAAGAAGCATCCCATCAATTTAAGTACATTTACTGGATTTACGGGACGCACGGCCAGCGCATTGGAAATGTGCAATGCGCTGGCCATGTGCGTTAGGTGTGTGTCGTCATTCGTTACTCGTTCGTCGAGCGCGCTGGACCAACGCTATGCATTCGTCGTCATTCGCTATGTGCGTCGGGATTTTTTGAGCATGCTCAAAAGTGTGCGCAGAGCTCGACACATGAATGTACATGCCAAAAGGACGCCAGACATGCGCGGAGCGCGCTAGACCAACGCCAGACATACGCGGAGCACACGCCTTGTAAACGCGCAGCGCGCTAGCAACACGCTATGCATTCGGTGTCAGCTCGCTAGCTTCTCCCAAATCCTGACAAAAGTCGGACTCACGACTTTTTCCGATTTTCAATGCGCGGGCCGTGCGTCGTCTATGTGTGACCGGGCCATTATCAAGAAAATGGCGATGCCCATGTCTTGCTGAGAAACTGCATTATTCTTGCGCAATGCCTCTTTCATACACTTTGATAGGGAATCTTGTACATTAATGTGCAAGAATATACTAAACCTCTCAGACTAATTTTAAGATATTTTTCTTGAGTGAGGTTTCCGTTTACATTCTTATATATTTTAATAAGTGGCATCTATAACAGTTTTGAAGGTGCCGAACTAGAACGCTTGAAAGGAAATTCGCTAACGTTTATGCAAATGTAAGTTGAATGACACATGAACGAAAGATTATTGTTTAATGGACAGATATTTTTTCTTCTCGAATCAGTCTTGCCGTTGTATTCTCCATTAAAAAAATTCAATCTCGACTATTAGGCATGTCAGGAAGAAGGAATGGTCAGAGCGATTACATGGAGCATTACTCACTCTTGGTTCTTCTGTCGAAGTCTCAGTTATGAGCACAGAATTGCCTGCATCGTCTTCGAGCTCCAGCACGATGCCAAGGTTGGTCTCAGGTTCGGCCGCCCAGCCTTGCACAACGTTGGTGAAGTCAACGCTCCTCCACGCCCCGACTCTTAAACTTAGCTGCACCTTGATGTTTGCAACTAGACGAAGCTTAGTCTGTCCTGGAGGGTGCAGTCGAGCCGTGATCATCTTGATTGTCATTTGGTGGAGTGTGTTCTGGACTACTTTGGCGGGGGACACGTAAAAGTAAAGCTTGGCACTTGACACGTGGTATCCCACTATTTTCTCGGCAACGTTGAAGTAGCAACAGGACGGGGCGTCGGTTCCATGCGTCTGGAGCGCTGTGGAATAAATGAAATAGATAACGCGTCATGATCATTCGAGGAAAGCTAGTAACATAAAAACAGAAATGACAAACTGAGCGCCGATCCATCTCTAGAAGGGTCGTATCCTCCTATTGCCTCATAAACCCGAGATATTCCAACAGTGAAAGTAATCTGGAGGGCGTTTCGTCACCCCTCTAAAAGGTCCAATACTTCGACAATGTTGTCCACCTGAGGATATATTCAATGACTTTGGGACAAATTGGGAAAAGAAACAGGAGTATGGTCTTTGTTGTCACAGCGGTGTTGCCCGACTATTTTTTAGCAGTTTAATGATGATGGTGTTGCAGCAAGTTATCGAACAGTTGCGGATATCTTGTTTTCAATCAAGCAAACTTCATTCTCGTATGATTTTCAATTTGTGTTTAGTTGTCTAAAAAGAAAAGGTAATTAGAATTTTCGCACGCCGAAAACGTTAAGAATAACTTCGTCCTCTCCTCGGAAAAAAAGAAGAAGAAAGAAATGGTTATCCTCTTTACTTTTAGATGTTATTGTGTATAAACCAAAAATCATCTATGATCTGTTATTATCTTCTCTTTTTGACATTTAGCACATCACTTAAACATCTTGTTCGTCCTATAATAAGTAGCCTATCGTGTGCTATTAGTTTGAGCACACTAATAAACTGGTTACAAACACCTGCATGATTCTTTACAGTAGAGATGAAAACAGATCTGGGGGTGTTTCATAAAGCTGTTCGTAAAGTTACGCATTACTTTACGAACGACTTGAATACGAAGTGCCAGATAGGATGCCCGAAGTTTTTCCTGATGTTTTAACAAAGTGTGACTATATTGCCAATAACCTCAATTAAATTATGGCAAAAAATACACTTTGCGTTAAAATGTTTATTATAATAAGAATATATATCTCACAGTGCAACTTTAGTCCATGCTGTTAAAAAATATTTGAGCACCCCATTTGGCTTTTCATATTTAAGCCATTTGTAAAGTCATGCGTAACTTTACGAACAGCTTTATGAAAAATCCCTGGTAAAGGGAGAAAACTATTTCTTCAAGAGTCTACCTTGGTAGCAAGATGCTAAAGGGAAAAACATGCGTCAGTAATCCTTTCGTTACATCTTTCGATGGCCAAAGTATTTAGTTTGTTATATTGACATGGAGCGTATAAATACGACTCGAATAGGAAGCAAGAGTGACAGATCGTGAAGAATACTTGTCAATCTTGTGCAGGTGTGAGAAGGACAATGTCTATTGTCTGACTGTCATGTTAAGTAGGCTCTTTACACAGGGGCAACTCTAAGGCGTACTTGGTGATGTTATCAATAAGTACTTTTTGATCGCAAGCCAGCCCAACAAAATGGATGCGCTTTTCAAACTCTAGACAGATCTTTTGTTGTACTTGTACCGTTATAAACAGATTATTTGTTTCTGAAAGCAAATGGCAAGATTTGGTAAACAGCCATGACAAAGCAAGAGAAACGCGGCGCCTCGGCCACTTGGCTAGAACACAAAATTCAGTATCCACGTGTTCAAGGATGTCAAGTGCCCAGAAAAGGCCAAGAGAAAATCTGTTATCATTTGTATTTTGTGAGAGTGTATTTTTGCAATCACTTGGATACCATACAGAGCAAATCGACATTTTGATCAGAAGAAAAAAAATATTATTCGATATTATTTTATGAATCAACTGTTTATATTGGGTCTAAGTGGTAATAAACAGGATTTATTACGGTACTTGAAATAAAGAATGTCAAGTTTTAAAAAAATAAAATAAAATGAGTAAAAATTGAATGGCAAATTATTATTCCACTCCGCACCGATACGGGGTCCCCACGTCCATTCAGTCTCACTCTCATAATCGAGACACACAAACGTGTAGGAAATAATCAAGATGAAATCATATAAATGGTGTTGCTATTATTGTGAGGCTAAGTAACATTGTTATTAATTCGACTGATTGCACTTTACAGTAGCTGCCCTGTCATATTAGGAGGGACAAGGTCATAGATTCAGGACTATTAGATTTAGTATCTATACCGAAAGCAGTAGATTTCAGGATTGTTCCCCCGATTAATCAAAATCAAATGTCAAAAAGAATATTTCAGGGTGGGTAATGATCTGACCCAGCCCACTGTAAGAGACATGCAGTCCTGTTCGCATATGCAGAAAGGATGAAATTATGTAAACAACTTAACCGTTCTTTCTTTCTAAATTTGACACCCGATCATACTAACAAAGTTGACTCTCAAATGTTGAATTCAAGTCAAGAACTTTGTGTTGCTATAACTTCTTAAAGGTACTATGTCCCTTTTGCAGCCAACCTCAAATGCTGTAGAACTTTGCAGGAATTATGAATATGTCATGTATGTCCTATCTGTGAAATTTAAACGTTAGCAGTGTCCTCATATTCAAATTATGCAAGGAAACCCGTTTACTTGCTAGACTTCACTGTCAGACACTATTGAGTGACTGACTGGCTTTTTTCTTCTTTGGTAATAACATACATGAAAAGAGTTGTAAAGGGTACATGAACATTTGTCTACATCAATAACCCACTTCTTGTGATGGCCAAGATTAAACTGATTGAATCTTTGCGCAGCATAAAACTTATGACCATTCGGTACAATTGTCTGAAAATCAAGACTATTACTTTTGGGCTCTATAGCCCTAAAGTCGATTTGACAACTAATAGTCGTTATTTTCCCACTTGAAGACGTTTTCAAGCCCCACCTTTTTTAGGGAAGTTCTAAATTAGTATTATCTTTCAAATGCAGTCGGAATTTAACTTTTTCATTTTTTGGCCTACAAATGGGACATAGTACCTTTAATGAATAGATATGTAACATATTTTTGGAACAAGTCATTGTACTTCGTAATAATGGGCAAATTTCTTAAAGTTACAAAAAAATTCGCGTCTCCAAATATGATATTTGGAAAATAATGAGTTTTTGTTAGATATAACATTTATAAGACTTTTACCGCTTTCAACTGAAAACCCAAATTTTAGTCTCATACTTTGGCCTGCTAATGATGTTGCATGTTATTCTAAGACGTAAATGAGTTATCTGACACGCCCAATATATACAAAATGATGCGACGAGGTGAAACCGAGAATCTGTTTCCTATAATCGTGACGTTCCAGCATTTATTGCTGATGATATAATTATCGACATTTGGGCTGTCATCAAAAGGAATACCAACTGTGTTGTAACGTGTTTAAACAAACAAACAAAATCGAAGAAAGGATCTAACACTCATCTGTCTCACTCGTACGCATATCTATTCCTAGATATTCAAAAATCTCCAATTATGACTCACAGTTCTTCCCTGCCTTTTAATTCATATCTTGCGTGCCACATACCGCACGATGCGGTAGACCTTCTCTCTCTCTCTTTCTCTCTCTCTGTCACGATCGAATTCAGTTTATTGATGAATCGGCCGGGTGACGTCATATCTTACAACAACCCTTAAACATGGCTTTCAATAGACGGGGTGCTTTTGAAAACCTTCTTGCGAAGGTCTCGATCGATATTGGCAACACTCGAGTCCAGACCGGGAGATCATTCCCATGGCACGCGTTAAACAATTTACCCGCTGGTTACAGATAATTAATGCAAAAACATGGAGGACAAGTTTTCTGTCATATCAAGCACATATTGTGCGAAAGGAAGGAATGCATTCCACCCATATCTTTTGAGAATTTAATCACGTTTCTCTTCTCCCCAATGCTATCTTCTCTTTATGTAATTTTTGTACTTATTAATTTTTACTAATCTAATCGTACTTAAAGCTACGATTAACTTTTTAGAGTTAAAGGAAAACTTTACCCGAGGAACACGAATGCTCATGTATTCGCTCTGACCATTTCTTCCTCATGACATGCCTTCTAGTCGAGATTGAATCTAATGGAGAATACAAAGGCAAGACTGATTCGAGAAGAATAAGTTTCTGTCCATAAAACAATAATCCTTCATTCATGTTTCTTTCAACTAACATTCATATCAACGTTTAATTAGCGAATTTCCTTTCAAACTTTCTACTTCTGCAGCTTTAAAACTCTTACAGATGTCACTCAATAAAATATATAAGAATGTACGCATTCTTAAAATAATTCAACCAATGGTTAAAAAGAAACCTAACCCCAAAAAATAACTTAAATTATTCTGACAGATTCATATTCTTGCCCAAAATCAACAAGATTCACCAAATCATTTTCTTGATAACATGACGTCTTTTATGTGAAGTCATTTATCCAGTAAATGTATTTAAATTGATGGGATGCTTCTTTCCCAGGTGTGTGTGGTGATGAAGCCTTTTATTCACCTGCTATTATCCGTTGTACTACAATTACCAGAAGGCAAATTGCATAAACGGGGTGAAGGTTTCTCATATATAAAATCGATTTGTCAGCTGCTATATTTCAGTATTTTAAAACGTTTAAGTTACACTTGTTCCCCTGATATATATTTTCCCAGCTATGATTTTTCCTTATTGAAAAGTAAAGGTTTTATTAATGATTTAAAAAGTCTTTCCGACTAAAGCTTGGTGCATTATACATGAACAACTTCAAATGGTACGTCACATTTTCGAGAAAATAATTGCGCCCATGTCATGCTAGAAGGCATCACATCATGCCAAGAATATCTTGTACATTTTCGTAAGGAATATTGTACATCAGAGGGCATGAATACATCTCATTTTCGAAATATCTCCGCTTATTCTTTTGGGTGATGGAAATTGGTTGATCAGCGTACTTCACTATAGATATATTAAAAATTACTTACAGCTTGATTAAAAGAAAAATTATTTTCTCGAGTGTATGAAAAGAGAAATTTGTGTCTATTGTATTTCTTTGTTTTAGTGCACTAACTAAATGGATCTGACAGAAAATTGTCACAGTTAAATATGTATTAAATACTTCATCCACAACGGTAGTTGGTTCCATTAAAGTCATGCCAAGCCAATAGATGGGTCCCGCTCGCGGTTCACCTGAAGCTACAGAAGCGTGTGAAGTATAAACTTCCTGCACCGTTAGACAAATGATAGTGTCTTCATTTGAGAACACGTCAGTGGCATAGTTACATGGGCACATGCCCCCCCCCCCCACCCCAGCGAAAATACGAAAACAAGAGAGAAACTAAAGAAAAGCAGAGAAGATGAAAGAGAAAGGGGGAAGGGCAGAGATAGTAGGACACCTTTCCGCACCCTTCGCTGGCCTTGGTAATTCGCATCTTATTTCTCGAGTAAGACAGGCATTGACATCACAAAGGGAGGCCCTTGTGTTCACGGGAAGTTAAGATAGTCATAACATATGTGTACGCCTACTCCCTCATTCTCAGTCGAACGGTGAATTGGACTATCAACACTTTCCGTCACATTACTCCAATCGCCAATTTAAATTAACCTAAACCCTTCCCTCTCTCAACTACTCACGGTGCGCGCGCGCGCGCGCGCGCGCGCGTGTGTGTGTGTGTGTGTGTTAATTGTTATGTTTAATATATTTTGTATTCAGAAGTGCATCAATCAGATGTGATTTTTGTTACGTCTAGGGACCGACCTTTGACCCCCCACCACTCGAAAGTTGGACTCAGTTTCGAACCAGATCCCCCTGAGCAGTATGTAGGCGAATACAGAGAGCTGACCAAATGAATGTACCGCTAGACCAACTCACATCACATTGAGATGTCCCCAAATTATCACAATTATCATTCTATATAAAATCGTTATTCCTTTGTTAAAACTGGAATGTTTAGCATTAAAAGAAATGTAGTATGTTTCCCCGCTTAGAATGGGAAGATACCTAGGAAAGGGAAAGGCATAATAACCTTCAATTTAGGCCAGAATTTATTTGTATGGCGTTGCCACGTATATGAGTCATTCAGTGAAACCAATGTTTAATTGGTTATCGGTGATGTTCTATTGAGAAGGTTAACCTTTTATCCCTTGATAACATACTGGGTAGGTCTACGTATAAAGCGTTTGATCTATTATAATATATTTTAAAAAGTTGTAACTCTAAAATTCACAATTGCAGATTAACATAAGTTTTGTGACATTTACTTCAAATCATATTGTTAACATTTGAAAGATAATTTGTGGACACATTAAAGGCATCGTTTAACAATGTTAAATCTGAGATGCATGGTCCTATGTGCTATCAGTGTCTGTGATATGGTGTAATATTAATGCCCTAAAAAAATGCGCTTCAAAATGATCATGAAGTGCCTCAAAAAAGTAAAAATATTTGAGTGAACGGTTTTACCATACTCATTTTCCCCAATAGTATTATATAAACCATTAGGAAAACGAAAAATGAAATTTCGATTTCCAATCATAAATATCTTGATAATCAGACAGGCAAACGGCTTGTAAGAGTCATAGGATTCCTGACTGACCTAAAGGTTTATAATTATGATTGCAGCATGAGCTAAGTCCAGGATTTTGTTTCAGAACCTGAGGCAATGTTACCGAGTCACTTTAAAGGTACTTTGTCCCGTTTGCAGGCCAAACAAAAGAAAAGTTTAATTTCCAACGGCATTTGAAAGACAATTCTAATTTAGAACTTCCCTCAAAACGAAAGGGCTTGACATGGCTTTTAGTGGGAAAATAACCATTAGTTGTAGAATCGACTTAAGTGATTGCAATCACATAAGTAATAGTCTGATTTCAGACCCTTTAACCAAATGGTTGTACGTTTTGTGCTGCACAAAGATTCAATCAGTTTAATTTTGGTCAATACAAGTATTGGGTTATTGATGTAGACAAATGCTCATTTATATTATATTATTTATGTATATTATTACCAAAGAAAAAAATTGTCAGTCAGTCACTCAATAGTGTCTAGAAGGTAAACGGACTTCCTTGCATAATTTGAATACTAGGACACTGCTAATGTTTAAATTTCACAGATAGGACAAACATGACATATTCATAATTTCTGCAAAGTTCTACACAATTTGATATTGACTGCGTAAGGGAAATAGTATCTTTAAATTAAGAAGATTTTTGTAGGGGTAGTTTATCTAGAATAAGACATTCATTTTTTTTCTTCGCACTTTATCCCACCCTCTACTACCAGGTCACTCCCTATCAGTTTGGAACATATAGTTTTGTAGAATACCTGGTAAGATCTAGGAGTAATAAAGGGTAAGAATATTTAACATGTTTAAGAAAACACTGAAGATCTATCTCTTCTTGCAGTAGCGTTGTACTTATCTCTAATGTTTGTGTTAACCAATTTCATATTATAAAGAGCGTAGAGAATTATGATTATTACGCGCTACACAAATCTAACATAATGATTATTATATGAACGTCAGACAAGCTCTTTCCTTATAATTTAGACCCCCCCCCCATCCGTTTAAAATATTCCTCGGATTTTGTCAACCTAGCAAGAGCGGTGAGTGCACAGTGTGCTGGAGCACTTGGGTCCCCCACCCACACATACACACCCTCTTAGGCACGCACGCAACTAACCAAAATTGATATTTTGAATTACTTGACTATACAATCATTATGGTATAAACATTAAACAATGTATAGGTGCCCTAGAACACTTTCGATCGTGTGGGCATGGTGCTTGTCGAAAGAAAATTGCTCACGCAAGCTTCAGGTTGCCCATGGGTTTCCTATAGGTTAGTCCACGGGTTTACCAAAATGAATCAATATTTCTTTTCAGAAGAGGTCCTCTGATTTGAAATGATAGAGAGTACCTAAAAACAAAATTTCGACCATACATAGGGGAACCCTTGTGCACATCAATCTCCTTTCTAATAATCGACGTGCGCAGTGCGCACCCTACTCTTATCTGAAGTAGTGACTTTCCACTGAATTCATCACATAAATTGCAAGCGTCTCATACAAGAAGGTCATGATCCCGGATCGAAACTTTCAGATATACGAGCAAATGTAACCAAAAAAGGCTATTTGCTTTTAAATGACAGTAATCATGTTGATGGAAAATCATACGGCAATTTCCAAGAAATAGTATTTCATAATTAAAATTATTCAATATTTGCAATGATATGAATGTTCAAATGCAAATAAGTAATATTTGGAGAAAAAAAATCAATGGCTCCGTCAAGCTTTATCCTTGCCCACGCTCGTACCTATTTGAGTATGCTAGGCGTATACAGTTGCCCCTCCTCTTATTCACAAATTTTATCCAAATAGCACTTCTTATGTGTTACATATAAAAGTTACCAAAAATGATTTGTGGTTTTCAATTTCTAGCGATATAAAAATTCACTGTTACCTTAAACGTGAGGAAACTGTAATCATGTTGCTTTCTATGCTACTTTAAACGCAGGGACGTCGATCAGTTTATCATGATGGTGCCTCGGGCAAGCACATGTTAATTAAAGAATACGCTCCGAGGGGGTAGTTCAGGTTAAAATTATTTTGGGGGTACCCCCTCCCCCTCACCCATGCCTCTTTAATCAACACCCTTATTTCTACTATTTTCAATGTGTAAGCATGACATTTTCTTTTGTTTTGTTAAGGACATACATAGACTTCCTAGTCTACTTTGCGCTTTTAAAATCAATAGTACTGTTTTGTATTAGACCTATTATTATCATCTTTTATCAGTTTTGCTCTAATGATTGTTCTTCTTATTATCATTATTCTCATTAATATGATTTATTTACAGACAATAATATATTAAAAATTAAGCCATATAGTGAGCAACTTGTTCGTTGAGATCCCGGTGCTAAGACCCGAAAAAGAAGTTTATTCTTAAATGTTACACTAATAAATCTCGAGACTCCCCTCCAATAAGCATGATTGGTGTAACTATCTGTTTGAACTGTTGAAAGGATTGTAAAACCATCGTCTTTGGCAAATAATAATGTGAATGTTAACAAAATTATTTACTCACGTCTTTTGGCAAATATGAGGATCCTTTCAAGTTGTGCTGGGGCAGGGTCGATGTACTCGGTCTGTGGTGAATCTGACTGGACCGAAGGATTGTTCTGGTACTGTGGATAATTTTGTAGCAAGTTTTTAATGGCTGGGTTCTTGGGCGGAGGTCCTGTGATATTCGGAACATGCGTCATCTGTAGTTTCTCCAGGATGCGTCTTTTGATACTTTCAATGCGGAATTGTTTCTGCTGTTCCCGTAACCAGCACGGTGGACAGGTGGATAATTCCGGTGGAGGGGTCATTGCGTCTTCGCTCCCGTTTGACGCGCTGGTCAGATCGGGGTCTGGGCTACCGTCATCAGCGTGGACGTCTGATGAGGTGTTTTCGGCGAGGATTTCATCGGGCTGTTGATGGGCGGACATGGGGATGATGCCAGCGCGTCGCCTCCATGACGGGGGATGACTCGCTATCGTTAGGCAGACGAACTCGACGATGACTAGCGCCAAGTAGACGTAATGATTGAGCTGGGCCATTTTTTGTTTTAGTGCAGGGGGTTGTGATGTGTTCCTCTTCCAATGTGTGACCCGGTCCGAGTGAATCTTGTGGGTGGAATCCCCGCGTATTTATTCCTACCGGTGGCGTGGAGATCAAAAAGAGGGTGGGGTGTGCGTAGCTTTGTAAGTGTGCGTGTGTGTGCGCGTGTGTGCGTGTGTGTGCGTGTGTGTGCATCAATGGCTGCTTCGCCGAGTAGCAGTGAACAGCTGATCGAAGATTTCTTGTCTTTTTGCCCAGGTCAGTGCCGGGGCCACTGGCCGTACTCAACGCCCATTGGCTGACCAGGCTTGGCAAGGAGAACGTATCGACCAATCGACAGAACAAGCGTGCGCATGGTCCACGACTCCTTAGCAACAGGCAGATGAGCTCATAACAAAAGCTTAGCACACTCCCCCTTCTTTCCACCACGGCACCTCCCATCTCACACAAACTGTGTGCAAGTCCCACACGAGCACACGAGCTCCTCACTCGGCTGCCAGAAGAACATACATGAAAAGAGATAAAGAAATTATATTCAAGATCACTTTGTAATTCAATGTGAATTTAACGATTCAATGCCATTCGTGTATCATTGGCGAGTGTGTGCTACCCCTCGTCGATGTCAGGTAGTGAATCATAGAGCGAAACTTCTCTCTCTCTCTCTCTCTCTCTGCTTCAATGGGACCCCGGGCAGCGATCAGCTGATCACCAGCTGGAGCCGGTTATTATATTCGTATCCCCCTCTCTCCCCCCCCCCTCTCTCTCTGTCTATCGTTCGCGAGTGCATTCCAAGCTATACCTTCTATCTCTTCGAGACTTTCCCATAGCTCATATTTTCTTCTGCCAGCGGTGTCCTACTGCTATATTTATTTAGGAGGCAGTAGAATAAACTGATGAAGAGAAAGAAAACAAAAAAGAAGGAGAAGAAGAAGTAGAAGTAAATCCATAGAACTGTGTTTTCGGAGCTTAGGTACACGGAATTTTGACTTAAGGGACCAACAAAAGATGTTTTAATCTTCAGATACATTAATGTGTTTAAAGTTGTTTGGGGGAATAAATGAAGTCAAAATATGATTTTAAAATAATTTTATCCTTTTTTCCCCTCGTAATTCTAAATGCACCCCTTATCGCGCGAGATTAGTTGAAATTATGAGTTCAAAAGTATTACATTTTCTTAGAGTATCGGTTGTAGTTTCCCCTCCCGATTAACCACTTATGTGCTGATCCCTGACACATTTGATACCGGAAGAAAGAGAAAAGCATGAATATTTCAAATGGCTGGTACTAAGTAAATATTGAGTGAATATGTGTTTATTTTTGGTTTGAGAAAGGAACCGATTGCTCAACTTTAAACTCTAATATATTTTTTGTATTTTGTATTTTGTATCTGTTTTCATTTTATCGAATCTTGTAAATATATGATTCTCATGTTTTGCTATAATGAAATATACAAAGAAAAAAAACCTCTGATATAAAGAAATAAACTTTGGTGATTAAAATCACAAACAAATAGCAATAACTTCGTCAAATTCCAACCAATTCCCTTGAATGAGGTATCGTATAAAATGTAATTCCTCACTCTTTCAAGTAATACCAATAACTCAATTTTCATTTTTACTATGAAGTGTTGGGTTTTACCATAGCAGAATACACATACACAAACACACACACACATGCGCGCGCGCGCGCACACTATATCCAGTTGGCTCGCCCACGGATAGTGATTAATACAAGCCTTTATTTGAAAGTTATGTAGCAATTCCAGACAGATCTATTAGCTCTGGAACTTAAAGGTAAAACAAAGTTTTGGGAAATTTTTGAAAATTGGGTGGATAGTGATTCTTTACAATTTTGAATATTTGGATGCCCCTGAGGATGTTTTATAAGCACTAGAAAATTTAGCCCCTAAAATACTTCTGCTTTCGAGACAAATTGAATATAAAAATTTACCGGTGCTCCCGGTAAATGTTGATAAATGTCAAATAGCGCCTACGGCCGAACAATGGAAGCTGTGGCTATGTAATTTTGATATATAATTTCCAAACGGGAATAGCTATTCGGTCGATTTTAGTCAAGAACCATTGTTTTATAGCTTAATTAATATCTTGACTCTGAGAGGTAGCTATACAACATAAAGAGTTTATCATTTACAATGTTATAAATTTAGACTCCATTTCAACCGCTGAATATTGTAGGATCGCATATGCTTCAAATATGTTCATTTGAACCAAGTTCATGACCCCATACCAAAACTTTGTATTACCTTTAAGCTGAAGTCATTTATAACTGACTCACAAAGGGGACTCCACTCGCGCAGAACATGTACATGCTAGTGGCCCGATCAAAACCTCTATCGTTCAGACAAAGGTAATTAGTACAAACACTTAACACTTAACATGCCAAACCTGCCAGTCACAACAACAGGACGATACCTGATGCAATCTCAACTACGCCAATATCGTACAAACGTCAAACCAACTGACCGATGTACTTGTAATGGGCGATTCGATGCTGTGGAAAATAAAAAAAACCCAAGAAACTTTCAAACTCGAAATACAATATGTATGGGTTTGTAAAACGCTCCCGGGGGCTAAAGTTGAGCAGATATTTGGAGCCTCTGCTCCCCTACCCAATGATCTCAAACGAAATGAAATAATCATTCATGTTGGGAACCATAATGAGCAGCATGAACTTGTCGCTATGGTCGAATCGATGGCTTGTATCTCTCAAAGTCTTGCCCGTCAGTAAAGCGGATCATCTGGAACTCTATCATTCAAAAGAAATCCTGTCTAAAGCAAGTTGATGCAGTCAATACTTAGATGCAATCCATGCGGGCTAAACATGGATGGGCAGTCATTGATAAAGCCAACATCTTTAACGTAGATAATCATTGATTTTAAAAACTAACTTTATTGTCATTATTGCAAAGTTGAAACTTTGATTCGACAAGGTTATCAAAATTCAATGCTTGGAAACATTCGAAGTAATGATTATTATAAATTACAAAACGCTTAAATACAGCCCCGGCATAGCACATGAAGAGCTCACCGAACGCTGCTGAGATGTGTGAGATCACAGTATGGACATAATTTGCACAAGCAGACGATGTCCCATGACATCTCACACATTTTCAGTGCCACTGTTTTCATCTTCTCTTGAGTTCTTTCTCTTACTTTACTACCTCACTCTAAACCCTTCGCATGGTTTTATTTCGATGACAAATGCACCGATACAAAAATAAAGGAATCTGTCGTTTGTAAACAAAATAAGACGCCATTGTATATTCAGCTGTACACACCGCGGTATGTTCGGCGCTTCAAGAGGGAACAAATGCCGTCCTTAATATCATTCCGGGGGGTTTTCAATTTGAAAGTCTGGTTTCTTTGATTGTTAATTAACCCCTATCCTGTGTATTTGCAAGCAAAAGATTTCAGTTATCAGAATTGGGTCATATCCCCTTTTAAATGGTTTGACATGCCGTTACATTTATATACACTAAACTCATTATAATTTGACAAATAATAGCTTTGCAATTATGTTCATTCTTTATGGGATGTCGTCTGCTTGGGCAGTATTGGTCCATATAGTGACGTCATTAAAACATCGAAATTTTTCTGGCGAATCTCTCGTATATCCCAGCTGCTATGGAGGTGGTTGTATTTGTATTTTTATAAATCACCCGATTTGAAGTTGACCTAAAACTTGTACGATGGCCATTTGTTAGCTTACCAGTCTCTAGTGATACATTAGTTGACATATTTGTGATTTTCTTTGAATTTCACCTTCAAAGAATTCCATGTCTGTCGAGCCGCCGAGACGGCATGCACTTGAAGCTGGAGTTCGACTTCGTACGCCAAATGTTTCAACCATCTCAGCGTAGAGCCCACCACAAGGGGGCGCCATCTCTTCGACGTAGGAGTAAGGAACGGCACTTGGGCACCAGTGCAGTACTCTCCCCAATATGCCTCGGAGTCATCAACTTTTGAATATTCTTGTCGTTTCAACTGCGGTGAGATGAACCACAGCAGATTTAGTTAGAGATTCAACACCATGATCAAATGTCATCAATGTATGTGTAATAGACATAAATTCCAACCACGTTTCAATATTACAATCTCGGCCAGGAAGAGAGTGCCGACCTAAGGCGGTACTAGTCACTAATGCACTCAGCTATGATAAATTACAATTCATCTGAACACACTAACACGCAACATTATGTGACATCAGATGATGACTTTGTTGATGAAAACGGAACAAACCCGAATAGAAATGATAATTACTCTCATGAAAGCTTTGATGAATCTCTTCTCAAGCGCATGGTATAACTCCGGTACTTCATTTTGCGATTCCATACCGAATCTGAAAACATTAACAGAATCACATCTTTCCTACAGCAACACATGTGACCAATATTACCTTATTATATTATGATAATAAATTCTACTACTATCGATTATAATCCTGATTATAGTAATTATAAAAATGTATGCAGGCATTCTTCGGAATCATGTTGGTCTTAAGATTGCACATTGAGATGTCCACAGTATACTTAATAGAACTGACGAAATAACCTTTCTCTTAAACAAACTTGGACGTGATATACTCTGTATCTTAAACATGGTTAAACAGTTTGGTAAAAGATGATGCTGTTAGAATCGATAGATATGGCTTAGTGAGACATGATATATGTGCCTGGTGGTGGTGTCTGCATCGGCTTACTTCGAATCATCGGGTCGGGTGGTCGCGTTACCGAACATTATGTGAAAACGTGCCCCGTATTCACGAAATGTCGATGGTAATGTTTGTGACATAAACCCCTATTGGTCTGGTCCCATTTACTCAACACTTTGTGAAAACCCTACGGAAAATCTACAAAAGGTCGCGTCCACTCCCCCCAAAAGGATAACTTTCGATACAAGCGGAAAAATCTAGACCAGGTAACTGGAACAGGTAAAAGTAATGATGACGTCCATGCCGACATTGACTATAATAAGATTTTTTTTTGCAGGGGGGGGGGGGGGTAATTGTGTGGGTTTTACAAAATCGATGATATTTATGAACACTATGGGCGGAATCATCCACGGTGTTGGAATAAATTTACTTTCACGCAAATGAGATCTGACGATGTACTGAAATTACTATTAAATCTGTTATCCTGTAGTAATACCGATATTCTTGATGTTGATTCAAAGTTATTACGTTTAG